TCATTAAAATACATAAAATATTTAAAATAAATTTACATGCAAATACAAGTATATTTTATTGCAAGTATAATCTAAAATATATTATAAATAAACTACAAATTGTAATACAATGTTGGTATACTTTATTTTTATAATCATATAATATTGTACAAATTATTACAGTAAAGTATATATTTTTGTAATTACGACTATGAATGTTTTTCTGTTTTACCAACATATTTTGCCATAAAAGTGGCTGGCAAATGGTAGTAGAATTAAATAATACAACCATACAATGTAAAAATGCACTATGTTATTTTCTTTGTTGAATGCAAATTTTTCCTCTAAAATTATTTCCTACGATAACGTACAAAACTTATTAAGGAAAAATCGAAATTATTAAATTAAATCTGTTACTTCTTTCGACTATCTACATATTCATATAAGTCTATTATAAATCCATAGTGCTTACAAGAAGATAATTAATTGTCCCTTCTTATATCGCTATTACTATACTAGAATAATTTTACATATTTATATATATAATATTTTTCTAGATATTATATATATACATATATAAATATATATGTTTAAATGTCGTGATGTTCATACTAACAAGTTCGGTGTTCCATGACAAATTGATTGTTTCAACAGAAAAAATGTATACACATATGCGTGCCATCCTATTTTATTGATATAATCGTTTATATTATATTCTATGTTAATGTACATTTTTGTTTATATAAGAGCGCAAAAATAAAACTTAATATTTTATTACAATGTCTGCGACGAAAAATTTCAACTTATAGAAGTAGATACAATTTACAACTTCAAAAAATTTTTGATTTTATAACTTACTTCATACACACAACTTTATGAAATATTACAAATTAAGCAGAGAATTATAAATTCCATATTCGTCGCTTAAAAGTATGATGGCGAAATTAAAAAAAGAAGTATACATTTGATAGAAAGAAAAGTTAGAAAAACTATTGGTACTTGTTATCCACCAAAAAACATTGCGAAATTATCTAGGGCACTCCCGTTGATTAATACAATTTGTTTGTATATTATTCAGAAATTGCTTCGCAACATGACGCGTAGACACATCGAATATATGGAGTAAGGACAGTTTATCGTTTATTGCCCTACGTAATCGTATTAGCATTAATAACAAAATAGAATTAATTCAAATATATTTGTCTTAGAAAAAGAATTTATATTATTAGTCAATTTACTATTCAAAAGTGATTCGCAGTATGACATGTGAGTGTCGCATAAAATGTAAATATTCTTCATATTTATAGGTTTTTATAGGCGTGTAGGTCAGGAATATGCAGCTCTAGGATTAACCAAGGAATTAGACTGAAGGCCACCCTTTAATATTTTTACAGTCTATTTTATCTATGTCTGATAACAACAATAAAAATTCTTAAATAAATATATCGGTATAATCATTGATGGAATATTATTACGCAATCAACTAGTTTTTTTGCCAAGAGTTGTAGGTTTAGTTGTAGGTTGTAATTGCGTCTTAAGCATAATATGCATACACATGTACACGGCACGTCAGTCATTGTATACTACAATGACCAGTATGGAGTACCACAAAATTACGTGAAATTCATTAAGACAAGACACATGTATCACTCTGCTGATCATTGCTATTTTCCTCTGCCTTGAGATGTACCCGACCTGGTTGTAGGTTTTGCTGGTTGTGGAATAATCGTAATTTCATCATTGATCTTCAATGGTTTAAGAAGGGAGTCATTGGATCTGGACGATGGAGATGAAGGTGTATTCTTCTTGTCCATTACTCTTTTAGCTACGACACTATGCGCCGAATATACGTGATTTTCAAACTGCTTATACATTCCAAACGTGGCAGTGCAAACTGTACATTTATAAGATAGATGTGCTGGTTTTAATGTCATTCCATGATCTCGCGCAACATGATTTAGTAATTTCCATTGATATACCTAAAAATTAAGATCCATAGCCCTCAAGTATCATGTTACCTTAATTATTTTTCAATCTGATACGCATATAATTTCATATATTCAATAAATATAAAACTT